AATAAATAAAATACCAGGGAAAGCCCCTTCATAATGCGTTCTCATTTTACATTATTGTGTTTTGGCTCCCAGTTTAAATAAATACCCCAGGCATCTCAGAGGAGAAAACTAGGAGCACTTCAAACTAAGGTTTTATAAGTCCAAAAGAAGATACATTTTACATACTAGAGCAAATTTGCTGATGCCTAAAGTTGTTATACACCCAGCATAGGTCATTTACGATATCATACAAGAAAGTATGTTCAACGTCACTAGTAACTACCTACCTCTAATTTTTTTAAAATACCTTTAAAAGAAATCAAAGTGACAGATTTTTAAAACCATGAATCATAGTGCAACAGAGCACACTGTAAAGTGGGCACTCTCATACCTACCAGTGAGAATTCAAATTGACACCACCAACTCTGGAAAATATTTGGCAGTATAGACTAAGAGTTTTAACTGTTTAGACCTTCTGACCCAGTAATATAAGACTATGTCTGAAAGGAACAAATAGAAGAATGGGCAAGGTTTATTATATAGAAGGATGTTCATTAATTACAACCCTGAATAATAAAATATAATCTAAATGTCCAAATAGGAGAATGGGTAAATAAACAATGATCCATTCATATGACATAACACTAGACCAGGGGTGGGCAAACTTTTTGACTCAAGGGCCACAATGGGTTCTTAAACTGGTCCGGAGGGCAGGAACAAAAGCATGGATGGAGTGTTTGTGTGAACTAATATAAATTCAAAGTAAACATCATTACATAAAAGGGTACGGTCTTTTTTTTTAGTTTTATTCATTTCAAACAGGCCGGATCCGGCCCGGCCGTAGTTTGCCCACGGCTGCACTAGACAATCATTTAAATAATTTCTAAATTATCAAGAAGCTATAATAATAACCATTAGGCACAAAGAATATAACACTATATATTTTATTTAAATATACTTTTATAAAAGGAAAAAGTAAAGAGAACAAAACCTAAACCAGTAAGTTACCATAGTTACCTCCAGGCAATGGGATTATGAGTTAATTTTATTTTCCTTTGTGTAATTTTCTATGTTTTTATCATTGCTTAAGAAATGGGCTTTTATCTCTTTTTACCTTATTAGTGTGGACACTTTCAAAGAAATTAAAAATCGAAGTCAAAACAAACTTCCATGCTTCAACAATTCAACATAGGGTGGGTAAACTATTTTTGAAGGAAAGCTTATTTATTTTAATCAGAGAATTTACATATTTAAACCTGTTTAAAACAGCACCAATTCTCTGGGGTATTTTAAATATATACTTTCTAACTTGATACCAAGACACTGATAAACTCTTGCAGTCTCTTTCAATCCAAAAAGCTCTACTAGAGTGAAGTCTCTGCCCCTTTAAAGGTGAACCTAAAACCTTCATTGTGGTGTCTGAGAAAGTAGGTAACCTGCTTCCTCAGCCACTTTTGGTTGGGGCTCTGCCTCTTCCAAGCACATTTCTTCCTGTTCTTTGCCTCAAAACCCACTTCCCATCAGAGTCCTGGGCAACCCCTTCAGGGCTCTGATGAGATCTGAACTTTCTGATCCAGGATGCTTGAGCAACCCTGTCCTTTGCTTTTTTCTTGGCTAACTTGTCCTATTGACTTCTCTTAAGAAGTACATTTCAAAACTATGGGGAGAGGAAGTTAGGTGGACGTTTGCCCAATAGCTTTCCACTAAGGGATTCACTTCTCTGTTTCTGGCGTCCCGCTTCAGCTCTGCCAACGCGTGTCTATTCTGGTTGCTGGTCCTTTGCCACTTTACGCTGGGGAGTTCTGGAGCAAGAGCCCTGTGCAATCACATTAGGCTTCAGGGACACAGTCCCAGGTGGTTATCTGAGAATGAGCACATGGTGACAGAGCTGCAGCAATCCTCTTATCCGAGAGGCAGGTGGCCATGTGACAGCCCACACAGAAAAGGAAAGCTGATAGAAATCGAAGCACTGTCTCCCCTCCCCAACGGAGACACAAGCTGCAACAGGAGGGCAAATATTTATCTTCAAGTGGGCCATCCAAATATATTTCTTTCTGGTCTGGAAGATGCTCAGACACTGATATTTTTAAAAGATGATGTTCCCTGTTTCCAGGAGACATTTCAAGCAAAACAATGAAGCAGCAATGCAAGGATCTACACAGCTTCCCCGTCCAGCTTTACCCAGCTTTTCCCTTGCAGCTCCACTGTGTGCGCTTGGAATGGGCGATGTCACCTCTCCTAGGGAGCTGACCCACTCGTATATTGACCCTGGAGAAGGGTTAAAATTCCTTTCACTTTAGTGCTGGATTAAATAGGTCTTCAGCTCCACCAGGTATTGGGAATCTGTCCTATGTATTGCATCCTCGTTAAGATCTAGTATGATACTACATAGTGAGTGTTCAAGATGTTTGATGAATAAATTAATTATGTAAATGAGAATAAGACGCATGAGTGAAACTCTCTCTCTCTCTCTCTCTCTCTCTCTCTCTCTCTCTCTCTCCATCCTTTCATTTGTTCATTCAAAAAATACTTACGGTGCCAGGCACTGTGCTGACTATTCCTACAAAATGCAATGACCCAGATTCTGGGCAGACAATGGCTGGGAACAAAGACAGGATCTGGCACGCCACTTGTTTCTCAAACCCTTCCTGAGGATGCCAGGCATCCCACATCTGGAAAGAACAGAGAAGCCTCTACAAAGAGTATCTGAGGCAGTGCTCGGTAATAATGGGTAGGCTGGACTAATTTTTAAAAATAACCTGCTCAAGGCTGGTCATCCATTAATTTGTCTAGACTTTTCCTGAAGCTATTTTCAGCCTTTCTTACTTTTTGATGAAATGAATCCCTTGCACTCATTGTCTTGAGGGTAAAATGTTACTTGCTTTGATTTATCCTAACATTTTCTCTGTAAGTTTTCTTAGCAAATACAAGTTGGAGCATTTTTTTTGGACATGTCTGTATTACTCTGACCATAACCGTAAGGATTCTAGGCATTGTTCCTCTCTGTTTACCTTTCTAGACTCAAAAGCCACAAAGTCTGAAGTCTTATCTGACATAGCTCTCTCCTCTCTCTGCTACTGTAATCTTGAGCTCAGATGTTGCCCAATAAATCACTGATCCTTTGAACCCAAAGGGATCTTATTCACTACCCCTGCTCCCCAGCCCTCTTCCTGCTTATTCCCTCTCAGCCCTATTTTCTAAATGAGGAAACAGAGTTCACAAAGTGGGAGGTCAACAGTCACATCTTCCTGTCTAGCTCTCCCATGTAAAGCCAGAGCCACAAAGCATATCCCAGATGCACAGGCCCTCTCTGCAGGCACAGGGTAGTGTGTTCTGACATATTCCCAAGCTCCTTGACAGAGCCTGTGTACTTGCTGGTGTTGTGGCCCAAGATGTCAACTGAATTTTAAGATATACATTGCCCAGTGAGTCCTGGGTCCCTATCTGAACTCTTATTAAAAAATTAGAGGCCTGGTGCACGAAAACGTGCACAGGTGGGGTCCCTAGGCCTGGCCGGGGCGGGCCTGCTGGCGGGGAG